CTCTCTCTCTCTCTCTCTCTCTCTCTCTCTCTCTCTCTCTCTCTCTCCCCTTCCCCTCCCCTCTTTCTTGCTTCTCCGAACGATGAGCAATTTGAGTAATAGTTTTCTACTTAAGTTGAAGGGACCAAGGTTCTAGAAACAGTGAGTGACTTGATAAATAATTATCCTCCAAAATAAACCCACTATTTACAAAGGAAGCTACCAAAAGAAGGGAGCACTTGCCTAAAACATTTACTTCACTTACACCACAGGAAGGGAGAGAGATGAGAGAAAGAGAAGAGATGGAACACAGATGGGATGGAGGGAGAGCTGTTTGTTTTTAAGTAACAAAGGGTTAATTTGTTACCAAGGCTAAAACCAGAGTGGGCTGCCATGGCACATTGTTCCACTTGCACCAGAGCCATCTGGAAATCTCTCCCAACCCCATCCAGTTACTTAGATTTTTATGTGTTCTATAATTATTTCTGGGGCCCCATTGGTACACAATTCCCAAACTGGCCATCAGAAGGCCCTTTCTAAATGTTTTTGCCTAGAGGCTGAAAATTTAGCTGTAGCCTCCAAGTTAATATTTTCTGGGAGAGTTATTTTTGATCAGTAGAGTCAATAATAAACCCCCTTTTTTTCCTCTAAAATCATTTGTGGCTGGAGGTTCCTGGCTCCTTGAGATGATTCTGATAGAGGTAGTCTAAAGAAATAGCTCAAAAACAGCAACAAAAAAAAACCCAAAACCATTATTTTCTTCCTTCCTCTGTTTTCTCTTTTCATCACTGCTCTTGCTTTTCTTTTTATCTCTCCTTTTCTGCCCCTTTTCTTTCCTCAGCCCATTTCTTTCCTTCATTAATCAATCAGGCTGGGTGTATTTTTGCTGAGCACCTATCACTTTCTCAGAAGATCAGTGATGATGTGCTGGAATGAGCTAAAACTAAGAGAGTAGATTGTTAAATTTTTGGTGTGAGCATTTTTACATCTTGGAAACTGACAATGTTACAAATCAAGGCTTGATGTATTGTTTCCTTGATTATTGGAGAAAATATTAATAATGCAGGTTAAATATAAAAGTGAATCTTGTCTACATTCTTTTTTTAAAAAGAGCTGATTGTTAAACATTTAGCAGCACACCACTGGAATAAACTAAGAATAACAATTGATCTAATTTCTATAAGGTTTCAACATACAATCCAAAAATTAGGTAGTGCAAAGGGCTATTTTTTTTTAGAGATGAAAAAATGGTGGCTTAGCTAGATGAAGGGTCAACATAGCCAAGATTTTAAGTTCCAGAATTTTTATTTCTATGCTACATTGCTTCCATGAGCAGAAAGAAGCCTTTATGAATGAGGGGGAAGATGAGCTGGACCTTGAAATATAGGAAGTATTTGGATAGAATCTATCTGATAGATGAAGGAGAGAGGAAGGGGAAAGAATTGGGATGAAAGGGAAGAGGCAGAAATGAACCTAGCATGTTCCCAGGGCAGTGAAGAGAGTGGTCAAACTAAGGTACTAGGAAATAAAGTTTGATACTGCCTCGTATAAGGGAAAAAGCATTGGCCATCTGAGTCAAGAGAGACCTGGGTTTGACTCTTTTCTCTGACATGTCCTAGCTATGTTTCCATGGACATGTCACAATCTCTTTACAACTGATTTTTCCCATTTGTAAAATGGAGATAAAACCCATAGTTACTACTTCACGGATTGTTGGAGGGAATACAAGAGATCATGTATATCAAGCACTTTGTAAACCTTACGTAAATGTGAACTGTTCTATTTAACAAATGTTATTAGGCTTAGAAAAAACCTTCAACATCTTAGAGAGGACATGGAGGAGAAGAACACAAGATAAGAAGATATGGGAGGCATGGAAGTAGCACCATGAGACCATGTCCTGGAGTAGTATTAGGACTCTGGATCTAGAGCTGGAAGGAAGCCTTCAGAAACCATGTAGTCCAAGCCCTTCATTTTAGACATGAGGCATTGAAGCCAAATGGTTTAGTGACTTGCCCAAGGTCACATAGGTAGGTAGAAGATGACAGAGGCAGGATCTCACCTGGGTTTTCTGATTCCAAGTCCGGTACTCTTTCCAGTGTACAACAGTTCTAGAAAGATCCTTAGAGGCTATCTAATCCAACTCTTTGATTTTACAGATGAGGAAAATGAGTCCCAGAGAGGCTGTGACTTGCCCAAGGTCACATAAGTAGTAAGGGACAGAACCCAAATTTTAATTCAGGTCCACTGGATGCTGGTGTTGATGCTGATGATACAATAAGAGACTGTCCAAAGGGACCCAATCCTTCAAGCATGCTCAATAGATTCAGCTGCATATCTATGGGAAATACATGATGGCACGTGCCTGTAATCTTGGGCGCTGGGGGAGCTGAGGCTGTTAGATCTCGAGCTCAGTTCTGAGCTTCAGTGAGAAAGGCTAATTGTGTGTTTGTACTCTACTTAGCATTATTAATAAAGTGAGCCCCTGGGAGTAAGGAGCCACCAGGTTGCCTAACTCTGTGTAGTACTGTGTCTGGCACATAGTGGGCACTTAATAAATGTTGATGGACATATTGACCGAGGAGAGGTGAATCGGCACAGGTCA